ACTACACATTATTTGAAGTTGAGGTTTTATGAGTAAAGTGGATCAGTACATGAAAGAACCAAAAAAAGCCAACAAGAATTATTAATCATAGAAGCCAAGCACTTAAAATAGCAAATGGAGCATGATTGAAAAATTATAACTAACAAGTGATGAAAACCAGTAGCCTGAAGCATGCATAACCTTGGGCCTAATTTCATATAGTCTATGGGATATTTTCAAAAGTTTCCTGCAAAGTTTGGTATTTTTCTAATTTCAGGAAAGCTTCCTGGAGGGAAATGAAGACAGGGAAAAAAAGAATGATGGATGGATGGATGATCATTTCCCCTTTTGTGTCTGGCTCTGCGTTATACTTAGTTCACCTTGCATATCTTAGGCAATATGATGCACAACAAATTAGTATTGAAGAAATTAATTTTTTTTTGTATTGTATTGCCAGCAAGAGAGAGTTTTGGTAATAGCTACTGAGGTTACATAAAAGAAAAGAAAGAAAAGAAGGAAAGGAATTGTGATTACAAGCAAGATAATTAAAGTAAATGGACATTCTTGTAAGAACCTTTTCCATTTGAGAAATATTCACAAAAGAATACATGTAATGTTTTAGCAGAAATACTCCTATGGAAGTTAAGATTCAAATATTAAGAATTTTGATCTCTAAATGCTTTCCTAGTTTTAATTTTAAAAAAAATCCTAACTTGTTCTGATTCAGAAATTGAAACTTGCATTATACAGATCAAATAGTATCAATGTGGGCCTAAAGTCACTAGTTTAATATCTCAAAACTACAACTTTAGTCAGAGTTATATAACTAATCCCCCTCAGTAGTATTTCAAACTATAAATGATTTGTTGAATATAAATAAATTGTTTCTCCCAGTTTATCCATACAGTAAAAAGTTAAAAGTGAACACACCTGGCAACAATTTATTTTCTAACATTATTAATATGGATAACCAAAAAATCCCACAGGAAAGTTGGTAAGAACTATTAAATTTCTTGGTTGATAAGTTCCTCTGGGTAAATAAGGAAATTTGCTAATATAAATTTTACATAGTACACCATTATCTTCTCATTTCCATTAAGAATTGTCTAGCATTGGTTCAATCAAAATGTTCTGTTAAGAGAAATTAAAAGGCAAGTCTGTAAGTTTTTCATATAACATGAAGAATAGTTTTTAAAATCAAACATGTGCAATAAATCAATGAAAGTTTGCAAACCTGGGCGACTACTTAATAAGTTGGAATTCAACTGCAATGAAACTCTACTTTTGCAGAACCATTCAAAGAATTCAAGGGGACACCTTTCTTCTTCAAAATGGGAAATATTTTCTTGCTAATTTTGTTTGTGTCATGTTGTTTGAAACCTAATAGAGCCTGAGAAGAATTACCTGTTTCTAAGACTTGGAAATATCTGGTGGTTGCATTAAAGAAACTAGTTTAAAGCAAAAAAACAGAAACCTGATTACAATTGGGCAAAGAAAGAAAAAAGATTTATCAAAACATCTGTTTGGAATTAGTGATAACATCAGCAGGGAACCAGTAGTTCTCCAAACAATAGTCTAGGCAACTCAGTGATTGCCAAAAATACAAGCAAAGTCATAAAAAGCAGCAGGAAAAAAGAATCACCAGCAGGAAACAATGGAAGTTGCCAGGGGGTCCATTGAAAAGCTAATTGAAGCAGCAAGCTGAGACCTGCAGCCGGGAAGCATCCCTATTGAAGAAAAGCAAATAGTAGCTGAGACTACTACAGAAGAATTGTGGATTGATGAAGGGGGACGAAGTAAAAAGCAGACAAATAATTTATTTCACAAGAAAGATCAAGAGAGTTACAGGAAGAAAACTGTCCAACAGTAAAAAAATAAAATAAAATCAGAAACTGTTGCTGAAGCTACAGTATAGTATAGAAGAGACAAAGAACATAACATACTGACCATCATAACTGACCATTGCAAAGTGCTTTGTTAGTTATTTATCCTAACAAAAACAATCAAATAGAAAATGTAAAGCATGGCTTCAACTGCAGTGTAACATTCTCTTCAGTGTTCTTTAAGCTTCACTCCTTCTTTTGAAATGTTTGTATAACAACAATAGATGAATAAACTTTGATTATATTTTCTGATACCATAAAAAGTGGATTTTGTCTCATTATATGTCAAGTGGATTTTTTTTAAGAAGAATAGTATTTTATGAAAACCACTAATGACAAGTGGCAATTTTAAGGTTTATTATAATGTAACAGAAATTGGCTGCTTTATATTAATCAAAAAAGTGAAGTAATATGGAATACTTCTTGTGTAATCATGTTTACAAGTAATGAAAATACATCAAGATATCATAATCTAATATATAATAGTACAATATATCTTAATTTTTCTGAAGGGTATCTGTATCTGTTAACCATTTTCAGAACAATGTAAAATACAAATCAATAACAAAACAATAGCCATTATTTAGTCTGGGGGAAAAATATTCCTACTTGTAAAACTCTTCTTACATGAATCCATCCCATTCACATATTATGCAGTAAGATCAGTAAGACAAAAGAAAAGCAGTTTAGATGTTGCAATATTCCATACAATGTATCAATACATTCCACACAATGTATCAGTGCTTATCGCAAAGTACTTTCTCAAACAACAGCTAGCCTACGTGACCAACAGCTATGTCACGTATACCTAAGGTAATTCCCTTGTTTCCTGAAGAGCACAAAAAGACCGTATATGACCGTATATAGCGCAATCTGATCGCCTTTTGTTTGCTTTCACCGTTCCGGAGCGTAATAATTCCAAACCTACTTCCAGATATCAATGGAAGGTTTTGCCACAAGGAATGCTGAATAGCCCGACCATGTGTCAATATTATGTTAATCAAGCCTTGCAACCATATAGAGATCTTTATCCTCAATTTCTTGTCTACCATTATATGGATGACATTTTAATAGCTTCCCCAGGACCAAAGGGAACAGTCTCACTAACGCTACCTCACTTAATTACTCATCTTGCAATGGCAGGGCTACATGTAGCACCTGAAAAAATTCAATCACAATATCCTTTCCAATATCTGGGACACAAGTTGCTTGCCTCTGCAGCAACTCCTACTTTACCCCAACTGACTTTATCACCTAATCCTACCCTTGTACAGCTACAACAATACCTTGGCGCCCTTAACTGGGCCCGACCGTATCTTTCTCTTCCTACTACAGTACTATCTCCTTTATTTCAAGCACTAGCAGGGTCTCTTAAACCTGCTGACCGTATTTCCCTCACTCCATCTCACCATTCTGCCCTCAAAGCTGTGAATAAGGCTTTGAAGACTCAATGGGTTGACCGAATATTCCCTAATCTTCTCCTCAGCCTTGCTATCCTCCCCACTCCCTCATTACTTACTGCTATCATTTTCCAAATCAACCCTCACAAACCACACTCTTTACATATTGCTGAATGGCTTCATTTGCCTCATACACCTAGAGCCTCCATTACCACAAAGGCTACTCAAATTGCTTTACTTATCCAAAAGGGAAGACACCGTAGTAAAGCACTCATTGGAGAAGACATTCAGTCCTTGTATGTTTATTTTAAATTGCACCAATGGGACTCATTATTTCAAAATTTGGACGAATTACAAAATGCTCTAGAAAATTGGCCTGGACATGTCTCATGCCATCTTCCCTCTGATCCTCGCCTGCAATTAATAAAGACAGTTCCCATTCTGCTTACTTCTCCTATCAGTGATCAACCTCTTCAGGATTGTCTCACCATCTTCACGGATGGATCAAAGACTATTGGTGCCTGTGTTTGGATGGATTCTCATAAATGGCATACACAACACACCACACAACAGGCCTCAGCTCAAAAAGCAGAACTTGCTGCTTTCATATTAGCCCTTCAATTATTTCCTTCACAACNGCCCTTGTTGACACTTTTTACAAAATTACAACACCTCATTCAAAAAAGATCACATTCATTTTTTGTAGCTCACATAAGAAGCCATCAACAGCTCCCTGGATTTTTGTCTGAAGGTAATCAAAGAGCTGATGCAGCATGTCACTTACTGCCTATTACCATAGTTGCCCCAAAAAATAAACCACTGACAGCTGCTCAAAGTCATAGCTATTTTCATCAGAACAAAAAAGCTTTAATGAAATCTTTTGGAATTTCTATTGCAGAAGCCACTGCAATCATACAACAATGTTCTACTTGCAGTAAACAAGCTAAAGCAATCCCTCAGGGAGTTAACCCTAGAGGCATTCAAGCTTGCGATACTTGGCAAATGGACGTGACACAATATACTCCATTTGCTCCTTGGAAATATTTACATGTTTCTGTGGATACCTTTTCAGGATTCATCATGGCCACACCTCAGAGAGGTGAAACCACCAAACAAGTAATTAATCATTATATTCGTACCTTTACAGTGCTGGGATGCCCAAAAACGCTTAAAACTGATAATGGACCTGCCTATATTAGTGCACACTTTTCACAGTTTTGTGATCAGTGGTCCATTATCCACAAATTTGGTATTCCCTTCAATAGCCAAGGCCAGGCTATTGTTGAGAGAGCAAATCAAACTTTGAAAAACGCTTTATTTCGACACATGGGGTCCAAAGGCTTCAGCCCCCCTTGCCTCCCGACTCTGCAAGACATTCTCAATACTTGTCTTTATACGTTAAACTTTCTTAATCTCACTGGTACTCCTTCGCTTTCTGCAGCATCCAGACACTTTACTAAACCTCCTATTTCTGGATCCAGACCTTTTGTTTATTACAGGCAGTTACCTGATCCTGAGTGGAAAGGCCCAGCTGAACTCATCACTTGGGGGCGAGGATACGCTGCCTTACAGCTACCAGACAAAGTCCTGTGGGTTCCTGCATGCTGTGTCCGCCCCTACTTGGTTCCTCTTAACTCTATCATCTCCTCATCGGACATATCCTCATTGTTCCTGTGACTGTGATTGTGCGTCCAAACCCTCTGTATCTATCATGTGGCTCTTGCTTATGATATGGGCAATGATCGTTACATCAACTACAACACTTTATCCCTACCTGACAATTCCCCCCAATGGATCCAAAGTCCGTGGTATCACTCAGCATAGACTTAAGCGTGCTTTGCAGAACACTAATCCTCATCAACCTCGCAATTACACTTGGCTTGTATCTGACTTTGAAAATCAAATCCTTTTCCAAATATCCAATTATACCATCTGGCCCTGGTTCCCTATCCTCCACTTTGACTTTGCTGAAATGGGAACAGGGGCCAACAAATTCACCAGTAAATCACTTCAGTCTAATCAGTGGGACAAACAGGGCTCCTGCACACCTTCACCTAAAGAAGCCACATGGTGGTACCTGTATTTTTGCCCCCGACCTACGTCTACAGAACAGCATTCTTCCTGTGGCACCATAGTCAATAAATATTGCAAAAGTTGGTCCTGTGTTTCAACTGGCTACATCTACTGGACAGCTCCTCAGAACGATGACCTTATCTCCATCACACGTCGCTCTGGCAAGCCTTCCGCTCCTTCCTGTGATAACTTTCATTGTTGCGGACAACGTATCAATCCAATGAACATTACCTTTACCAATACGGGAAAACAGTTGTCCGCTGCTCAATGGGCCGTTGGCTATTCTTGGGGGGGCAGGGAGTGGAGTGGTGAGGATGACGATGGTAACATCTTCTCTATTCGCCTCTCCTTACAGTCCATGCACTCCCCCCCTGTTGGTCCTAATACAGATATCCAATCTGCTTTTCTTCAACCTGATCAACCCTCCAATCCTGATCCCTTAATAGCCCTTGTTAATGCTTCTTCTCTCCTTTTGAAAGCCACCTTGAATAATTCTGCCCAAACTGACACATGTTGGCTTTGTTTATCTGCGAACCCCCCTTTTTATGAAGCTGTTGGTTCCATCGAACCCATCTCCAACTCCACAAATGATGCCATGTGTAGATGGAACACCACCTCCATCACTATTACTTCAATTACTGGCCACGGTTGTTGTCTAGGAAATATTCCTAGCAATTACTCCCATTATTGTGCCAATGCCACTACAGGTAAATATGCTTGCCAGCTGTGGCTAACCAAGGAAAGGTCTGGTACTGTTGCCACCGCAGGCTACAATCAGGTTTTTACATTAAATCCCACAGGTAATATCTCCCCTAGTCTACAAGGACAATTTTTTGTTCCTGGCAACAATTCTATATGGGCTTGTTCCACTGGCGCCACCGCATGCGTCAGTGGTAGCATCCTTATTAATCAGAAGGCCTTTTGTATCCAGGTTCGACTTGTTCCAAAAATAACATATTATTCTCCACAGGACTTTATCTCTTTAATGGAACCTCCTGAATATCATCTCCGCGCTAAACGTGAAGTTGTTACTGCTATAACCTTGTCTGTGTTAATGGGATTGGGGGTTGCAGGTGTCGCTACTGGAACAACTGCTTTAATTGTACATAACCAACAAATTTCTCGCCTTAGCAAGGAGATCGATGAAGATCTTTCTCGCATTGAAACCTCCATTACTGCTTTACAAACATCTCTTTCATCCCTTGCTGAAGTTGTTTTACAAAATAGACGTGCTTTAGATTTGCTATTTCTTAAGGAAGGGGGTATGTGTGTAGCCCTCAAAGAAGAATGTTGTTTTTATTCTGATAAATCTGGAATTGTTCAAGATTCAATGCATGAACTACGCAAAAGATTGAAAGATAGGGAACAGGAACGTGCGTCCCAACATTCATGGTATCAAAGTATGTTTAATTTTTCACCATGGATCACAACCTTGTTTTCGGCTATAGCTGGTCCCTGTATCATTTTGTTATTACTTTGTATGATAGGTCCCTGTGTATTCACTCGTGTCTTGCAAATTTTGAAAGATCGGTTAAACGGTCTTGATTCCAACATTTCAAAAATTAATGTCATGTTAGCATCCAGCACATGGTATGAGGAAATCAAAGTTACTGAAACAACACCTGAAAAAATGGCCCTACTGACTCTATCAGACCTTGAATCATTTGATACTGAGCACGACTCTGTCACATATTATACAGCCAAAGGGGATCCTCGGATACTTATGAACTTGTAATCACTCGCCTCGGAGGAGGTAGGTGGCAGCAAGGAATAGGTTAGAGGCTTGCCCTTACAAAACAAAAACAGAGGAGATGTTGCAATATTCCATACAATGTATCAATACATTCCACACAATGTATCAGTGCTTATCGCAAAGTACTTTCTCAAACAACAGCTAGCCTATGTGACCAACAGCTATGTCACGTATACCTAAGGTAATTCCCTTGTTTCCTGAAGAGTACAAAAAGACCGTATATGGCAATAAGGAAATGCTTCCTTCTTTCTGAGATGTAACCACTCCCATACTTGCTGTACGCTAATAAAAGTAGGTGCGTAAGATCTCAAGGGGCCTTTTTCGCTCCTGCTCCTACACACCTTACCAAAGGAAGATGTTGTCCGTGTCTTCTTAAGCTGCGCGCAAGGTCCGATAGTCAGTCCGACTATCGTACATCACCGGTTCCACAAATCACCCTGTAAAGGGCCAAACCGTATCATTTAGATTTCTATATAAACTAGACCTCTACTTAGGCAAGGTATCTGCTAATATGGAAAGTCAGAAACATAATCCTTTCCTGTAGACTTCCTTGTCCAACAGGCTATTTTAGGCATCATGATCTGAATAAAATTGTACAGGAAAATGGTTTATTAGCTGGTTAGAGCCAAAGACTGAAGACATCATCCCACTAACACTTATGATAAGGAAAATTGGATAAAAAAAAATTATGAATAACTTTAAAATATATATCAAGAAAAAATATACTACCTTAATTATAGCATAGGGACACCCATCTACAGATTAATTATGGAGACCAGGAGAACTCCATAACCTCTTTCCAAGACCACCCTCAAACTGTAAAGCACTATGTGAATAACAATTTCTTCACAAACGTCATTAAAACTATCAAGGAGTCAAAAGTATTAAAGATAACATGATAACAACTATTTTTCTTTTCAAAGGACTATCTGCAAATGAAGGAAACCAATTATACAAGGACATTTACAAAGGTTAATACCACTGATTTATAAAGATTACATTCTATTTCAGCTGATTATTATTGTCTTTTCAAAACTGAAAACTGATCAATAATAAATTCATGCTTACCTTATACCAAATTTAGAAGTAAATTTAGTATATAATTTTAGAAACATTTTGAGAATGTTTTCTAAGTATTCTTCACTGTAAAAAACAAGTGGACCAGAAACTGCTGCTTCTTGAGGAAGGTTTAATTAGTTTTCCTGCACATTACAGAGGTTTAGACTATATGTTCCAAGTGGTCCCTTCCGGCTCCACACTTTTAAAATCCTATAGTTATATGAACTATTTCTCTAACTATAATTAAGTATGCATAACAATTCCACTCCCAATCAACATTTTATCATTTCAATTACTAAATCCCAGCCAAATTTTGAAAAGAGAACTGCTACGGTATCTCAAAAACTCAAATCATGGTTTAAAGGAAGTTGCAGGTATAAAGGAATGTTTTTTTTTAAACTAATAGTTAGTACAGTTCTAAAATTTACCTTGAGTATTGCTTACCTCCTTAGACAAAGGGAAAAGCAAGATACCAAAGTACAAGAGGTGACAAAACTTTGTGCATTTGTTTCTGTGTGAATGATATCACACAGTGGCTGAATTATATAAAAATACAAAGAAAAAGAATGAATTAAAAATGTTATAAAAAGTACTGCAAGTGCATGTTTATGAAGGCCACTTTTTCCCCCCAAACTGAAGATAATTATAGAAAGGCTTTTCCAGAAGTTATGATCTGTCTAATGTGATCTTTCTCTGTCCTTAAACAGCAGGATTTCTCCTATACTGTACAGGCCTTCATAATTACTTTATTTCAATGTAATACTTTAATGAAGATGAGTTTAATTAAATTAAATTTCTTCCTAGTGGTTACTCAATCAAAATGCAGTCTACCCTCATTATATTACCAGTAGGAGTCCAACATTATAAATACTACAAGAAAGGTTGTTTTAATGAGAGTGGTCATTATGTGCTATACTTGGAGGTAAGTAACCGACTTTAAATGTCACAATAGATGACTTTATATTAAGATGAAAGGGAATTTCTTTTAGTTTCTCATTGGTATTTTATTCTAGGCATTGCCTAGAATAAAATAGTAGAATAACTATGGAAAGATATTGTCTGTTATATTAGATTGAGAAATAAATATCATGTTTTCATATATGGTAATCATTTCTTAATGTTTCAAATATTCTAACCGTGAAAACTTCATCCATGTTATACTTATTAATATTGTGTTTTGCCAACAACTTTTGATACTACTCAATTAGTATATTCTGAACTGTGTGCGGAGTTTGTTAGTTAAAAATATTGCTTAGCAGAGAAAGTATTAAAATTTGGAATTGAATGGAATTGCCAAAAAGGAATAGAAATACAACATACAATTCAATATTATATCTATGTTAAACTAGTTGCACTAGTTAGCAGTGCAACTAGTGAGATAATTTCTCTGAGAGAAATTCAAAAATTAAGATTAAAAAGAAATTTAATAAAAAATAAAAAATTACACCATTTGAAGTCAGACAGGAATTATATTCATTAGGAACACTAAGCCAGGGATCACACCTGAATTCTACTGCTTTTCTCTTTTCTCATTGAGAAGAAACAAGCAGGCAATATTACCAGTATAGACTAGCTCATGCCAATTCTGGGTAACAAGGGTGAGTAAATAGCAGCACCCAAAGAAGATAAGCAGCTTCAAAGAGTAACCAGAAAAAACAACAACAGAAGCGTAGAAGTCTTTGCAGGATTAACACGAAATTAGAAGTGATTAACAGTATTAAAAGATTTTAGGATTAAAGATTAAAAGTTAAAAAAACCAAAGTGGATGGTGGGAAGGAGAAGGATGAAAGCATCTGTATACGTTATTTTGAACAAAATGCTGATGAACAGATAAAAGAATGAATATTCCTTGGGAAAACAGAAATTAACAGTTGATCACATTAAATCAATATTTTCTTTTCTAAGTATCTGAATCTCAAGAAACACATGGGTACAAAACATAAAAATCATCTGCAAAATCTGTTTTGCTTAACAAAGTCTTGTATCTTTAGAAATATGTCACAATTACAGTCAATTATAAAAATACTCCCATTATGCTTTGGGAACTTCTGAGAACAGAAGATGTGGAGGTCGACAGCTCTTTATCTTAAGTTTTGAGGTTAAAGAGAACTAAACAAACAGATGTCTTGGAAAGAGAAAGTATTTTAATTTGTGCTATTGAAAATGGATGCAATAATGGACAAATGTTAAGATTCCGGTTAATGCATATATTGCTATTCATCTCAACTTTGCCTAGTTTTTCCTCTTACACTAGGTCTATGATAAGATTTAAGGTCTAATGCCATTTGAGAATGACAAACTGAGTATGAACATTATTCAGCTCATATTTTTTTTGTACAATACAGAGAATAATAGCTTTTTATGTCTATCATAGCTGTGGAACTATAAAACAATGGTAGCTCATCCCAATGGGATCGGCTCACCCCACCTATGCTGGCAGAGAAAGGCACGCAGCAGATCCTATCAGCCACATTATACCAGTTCGCAGGATCCAGGAGAAGGGCCTTCTCTGCCGTTGCACACATATATAATTGCAAGATAGTTCTTTATGTTGAAATATTAAGAATCTAATAGAAAAAGGGGTAATTCGGAACTTTTATACTTAGAAATAATGAATTAGGTTTGGCCAAGTCGAAGCTAATTACAATAAATCAACAATCCTTACTTCATATCCACTGTGTCTCACACTATCCCAACCTGGTGTCCTTCGTGATTTGGTGGACTTAATCATTAATAATCTCTACCAGCATAGTATTTATATGTAAAAAATACAAGAAACAGAGAATTTCACATAATAAATGTATTCAATTTTCTGGTGAATACTGATTTATACAGTATTGTTTTACTATTGTCCTGTAATATTTTAAACTGTTATTCTTATAAATCATACATAGATGTTCCAGCATAAACACTGAAGAAATAAAGGTGATTTAACTTGTAAATACTGACCCAACTTTTTAATGATACTAAAAAATTATCATATGCAACAAGCTATTTATATTACTTTTATTTAATTTTAGTATTTCATTTTTCTAAATAATTTCTTACAAATAATGTATGATGTATAATGTGTGATATAATTTTACAAAATATACACTAAAATCATACTCATCAGTAACTAAATCTAATAAGGATATTCATTTAATTATTTCTATTCCAGGTTTCATGGTATTTTGCAAAGTAATTCCTTAAATAGTATAGCAAATCATATAAAAACTCTTACAAATCAAACTTCAGAAGAGTACAGGTACAAACATAATGGAGCCTGCCCATTAGGTTCGTAAGTCAAAAAATTCATTAAATTCATTAATTAAATCAAATGGATTGTTAAATGAATGAAGATCTGACTTACTATTTTCTCCACTTTGTTAATTGATCTCTGCCTGAACTGAGATTGGGCCACCCATCAGCTGTTTGCTTGCCCTCGGGATCTAAATGCCTTAAGCTTCTCCAATTTTCTTGAGGATTTTCAGAAAAACTAAAGGAAAACTGCATCTAACTGGAAGAGTTAATGGATCAACCTGTCCAATATATCCTGAAAAATGTACATTAGGTTTTCAATAAATACCAGGAAGGGCTTTTTTCTAATATCAATTTTCAATTAATTTAATAATTTAATAACCTTAATATTAATTTTCAAGTTATTTTTATAATGAAAAGCAAATCCTAGTTCTCTTTGAAAGACTGAGTGAAATGATCTAGGAAGAAATGCAGTAAGATAGCAGACTCTTTTAGGAAAAAATAGTATTGCATTTTTGTTCAATGGAATTGCTTTACTTTCCCTTTAGAAGGAATTAAATGTCAGGACAGAATTATGTAATATGTAGTTAGAGCCAAAAACAACCCCAATGTTACAGAAAGACAATTAATATAAAAGGATATCAGTCATCTATTTGTGTCACATGCTACATTCTTGAAGCTCA